GTGAAAAAAGAGGTGAGATTTCACCACTTCACCTAAATTTATTTTTTCGCTATGTTTTCATACGTGTGGGAGTGGTGATATCATTTATTTTTAAGTTTATTTTTTATTTTATTTTTTATTTTATTTTTATATAAATGACAGAACAAAAGCAACTCATTCGAATTCCACAGTATAACAAACATACATTTAAACATTTATTCTTCCTTCCTGAGCATAACATGTTCTTTCAAATACATCCGAGACCAGTTGACTTTTCATTGACTGTGTATAAAGATAGAAATAGTTATATCATTAAACCATACGATGACGAAGGTAAGTTATGTAAATTGTACGTTAAGAAGTTAGAGAAAGTTTATGACTTCAAGTATGACTACAATAGGGTTAACACTGATGATGAAGATATTGAGGAAAATTTATGAGAACGTTTATTTTTTCATTAGTGAGTTCGTTAGTGGGTGAAGAGGTTGGTGGCTTTGTAAATATTTAAGGTTAAGTTAGTGTTGTCGTTTGTGTTGTAAAATATACGTTAGCGGTTTCGTAAAGTGTCAAATTCACATATAATGGTAAGGAGGCGCGCAGTGCCGCCGTACCCAAGATATGTTTACTAACTAAGACTTGTTTTTCAATAATTTAGTTTTGAGAACTTTACGTGTCATATCATCCAATATGGCAAAAAATGGAAAAGAAACATTACCGTGAAGGTAATGAATATCGCAGTGCCATATCAAATTCTTTGATATGGCACGATATTTGGTAGGTGGATTTGCTGGTTTGTAATCTCTTTTTGAAGATAAACCTGATTCCATCATAAATTTTTCCACTTGATGATGCTTTATTTTTTGTAAATTGTCAAAAAATTGATCTTTTGTCAAATCTTCTATATTTTCAAATTCTTTTGCAATTTCTTCTTTTTCTTTCTCACAATCGGGATTTTGAGCAATATTTTGAAAACCTTTTAATCAATAAATAAGTTTTTTGAAATTCCTCCTTTATATTGTGAAACACAAGAATTAATTAATTGTTTTTGCTCAAATGTTGGTGGATTTGGTTTTCTGCCGCGACTAACTTTTGGTAATTCGATTTCTTGAAGTTGAAATGCTCTTCTTATTGTATTTTCGGCAACATTCAATTTAATTTTACCATTTTCCAATTCAACTTCCTTTCCCACACTTTTGTAAGATTCACCTTCTTCTATTCTTCTTTTAGCTTCAAATAGCCATTCTCTGCTTATAGATTTGGCAGTAGTCATAAAAGTGGTCCTTCTTTTGTGATAAGATTCAAATTTGAATGTGGATGATAAATAAAAATCAAAAATAATTGTTATAATTTAAATGAATAAGTAATTTAAAACGATTTTATTTATGATCAAATTTATATATTTTTTTGGATCAAATCCATTTTAATAGAATTTATATACTATTCATCTAATTAGTAAACACTACCGTATATTATTTTTTAAGCTATCTTATTTTTTGAACTTTTATTCAATCTTTGGTCGCAAGAAGAATTGCATGATAAATAAAAACATTTAATCAAAGTCAATTTTATTTTTCATATTCAAATGGACTGAGTGTTAACATTTAACATTTTTTGCTAATTGTCGTCAAAAATTAGGCGTAAAGCAAAAATTGATATTTCATATGGTTTTATGATAGATAAGCATTATATTCCCACTCATTATATTCGTAAATTTTGAGGTTTATCCTTCGCTTTTAAGATCATTGAATTTGATTTTTATATAAAATAGTTGTATATTAGAAAATAATATGAGTTTATGTGATATTATTTTTCAGAAGATTTTGTGTTCTTCTTCAAAATTTATTTTTTTATTAAAAAGAATCTTTACAAAAATATAACATTACTTTAATTAATATTTAAAAACGTGCTCTATCAAAAGTTCCAAAAATTCAATATTTTAGCTTTTCTGAGGTGTCACTTTTGATGAATTTCTGTTTACAACAATTATTTAATTTTTATCTGGATTTATATGTAATAATAACAAATTCAAATGAAGATTTCGAGTTTTTGTTAAAACTCAAGCGTCATTCACAGTGTCTCTTTATGGTAACTTAGATATTTCACTGTATTTGAAAATGTGGATGCGAAAGGAAGGAATAGTGCAAAGTTCATAATAGAATAAGTTAAGATAATGTGTAATAATAATATGAAACCTGGTTGACCTCTCCACAATTCATAAATATTCCCACGCTAGGCAATAAATTTTTTTACAAAAAACTCTCAGTATTGGATGGATAATCATGCAAATCATATCGACAAAATTGATAATGACTATCAAATATTTAGTGCCGATGAAGATTGATAATAAACCAATCAAACAAATTGTACAATTAGATTCATCTGATATTTTTACTTTACCCGAACAGCCCCAACTAAAAATCAATGCAAATATGCCTATTAAAACCCCCAGAAATGCTAATAATTCTGTCTCCACTCTTGTAGATATTATAAAGGCAAAAATGCCCACATTAAATTCTGAAATAGCTGATCAACGAATAAACTCACTTGAAAATCAATCTATAACACAAGAAAAACAATCAGAAACACATAAAATGTATATTAAAATAATTACAGAGAAAGTAAAAATGCTTCAAAATCGTTTGTCAATATTGGAAAAGAACGATGAAACACTTGATAATGAAATTCAAACAATTAAAACACAAAATGAAACAAATAAAAAAAGTTTCGAAATACTTGAAAAGCAACAAGAAACAATTAAAGAGAAAGTAAAAGCTCTTCAAAAGCACGATGAAACACATGATAATGAAATTAAAAGCTCTTCAAAATCAAACTTTAATATTAGAAAAGCACGATGAAAAACATGATAATGAAATTAAAACAATTAAAACACAAGATGAAACAAATAAAAACATTTCGAAATACTTGAAAAGCAGCAAGAAACAATTAAAAAGGAACAAGAAACAATTAAAGAGACAGTAAAAGCTCTTCAAAAGCACAATGAGACATTTGATAATGCTATTGAAACAATTAAAACGCAACATAAAACAATGGAAAATCAAATCGAACTAATTATGAAAAGAATCGAACTTCTTGAAAAAGAAGAAGGAATAATAAATAACAAAGTATGAATAATCAAACAGAGAAAATGCATCAACATTTAAAATATAAAAAAACAGATTTATCTTGCAGCCCGTCATTACGAATAAACAAACATATATTTAACAATTTATTTTATTCCTACCTCTGAAGATGAGATAGTATTTTTTCTATTTTATATTGATTATATTTCACAATTGCTGCTATAGTTTCTTCATCAAACGTTGAGACTTTTTGCAAAATTACTTGGTATATTTCATCTGAAACTTGTGAAATATAGAAATCCATAGATGACAAGAATTCACAAGCTATTTTTGCAACCAATTCTTCATCAGAAAATCCATTCTTAATCAAGTAAAAACAAAATTCTGCTTCACCAACAATTTCATCTGAATCAAATTCAGGATTGATTGTAACCAACATTTCTTCAATAAGTTCACTTGTATTATCAAAATTATATTCAGACAAAAGCTTTGCTAGAACAACAGATGCTTTTCTTATGACTTTCGGAGAGTTAAAATTATCAAGACATTTTCTAACAAATCCATAAATTGTCTCAATATTTTGAATTGTTTTTGTTTTTGATGTCGAAACTAAATAAAAAAGAGATTGCAAAGTTGTTCGAACAATCAAATCATTATCTGTTACATTCAAGAATGAGAATATTTCATTCATTGTTATATCATAAATTTCAGATTCCAAATGACAAATCAAACAAAATCTTGACAATAAATTTAAAGAATAAATTCTCATCAAACTTGAACAATTTTGTTGAGAATGTAAAGTATTATAAAGTACTTCTAAGCATGGAAGACATAATTCAGGACCAGCAACATGAAGAAACTGACTAAAAGCATAAAACAAAGGATGAATCAATGATGGATCAATTTCTTTTGAAGTGTCACTTTTCAACAATCCCAAAAACTTCAAATTCAAAGCGTCTATGAAAATTCCGAAATATTCATCGAAGAATTCCTGTGTCAAATTGGATATTGACGAGAATGCTGTTCCAGAAATTAACAAGAACCCAAAGAATGAATCTTTCGAAGGATATCCTTTGATACAAGGTAAAAATGTTTGTATGAAAAAAGAAGTATCTTGATTCAAAGCCAATAAACCATCAATACAATAAGCAATGCCTTCTATACAAGGACTAACGTAAGCGGAGCTTTCAAATGGTTTCTTTTTCAAGTTATCAACAATAAAAGGTAAATATTCTTCCATTTCATTCGGAATTAAACCAAAAAGTTTCGAAAGACATCTCAAACAAGGTGCAGCCTCTTTTGCTGACTTCTCTTTATCCTGTATTATACAACAAAGAGGAGGAACAATAACAGGAATGAATTCAGAAATCGATCTACATAAAACTAAAGAAATTTCTTCAATACATCGACATAAATTATCAATTTGACAATTTTCTGATGAAAAACTTTCTTCTATCAAGTCAACAATCTCATTAAGATGTGCTTTGATACTCTGTGGACATGTCTTTGTTAATCTTCCATAACATTCCAATACAATTTCTTTCATTTCTTTCCGATTTTCGAAAAATTTTGACAAAAAAGGTGACAAACTTTCAAAAAATTGTTTCATCAACTTCATCGAAATGTTGGAGTCCACTTGTTATACAGGAGAGGACTTTTTCGACCACGAAATCATCTTTTTCTTCAATATCAGTCATCAAAATTTGGATCATTTCTGAAATGTTTGTTGGTGTTTTTTCGACTTTAAAAAGGAGATTATCAAGAACAACCAAAGCATCATGATTGTTTGATCCTTGATACTAAGTATTTCAACATGTCATCAACAAAAGGAATCAATGATTCTGGAGTATTATCTGTAATTTCTCTAATTACGTTGCAATTGAGTTAACAACCTCTTCATCATCCTCTATATCGTTTTGCAATGCAACTTCTAAATAATATTTATGTTTTCTGCAATAATTTTTGAAAACCTTCAGAAATTGAACGAAGTATCAAAAGAGAGACTTTCTTGCAACATGTCTTCATCAATTCATCACCATCATCATTAGTTGTAAGCTCCTGAACAATCTGCATGAAGATTTGGAACAGTTCTTCCGCATCATCGCTGAATGATTTTGATAAACCATAGAAAAATGAAAGAGGGAAGTTGTAATCGAGATCATTTCTGCATGCTTCTATTGCTAGATTGCACGAATTGTTGATAATCATTGGAATTTCTTCTCTATTTTCTAATGCAATTATTTCAGCAAAAGCTTCAATGATGTTATGCATGGAAATACGCAATTTAATAGGTATGGAGTCATCTGAACATGCCGAAATTGCAATTTGTAAAAAATCTGACTTAGATTCTTGGATAAATTCTGGAGATTCAGCAACTAAATTGCAAACTATGCGTATGTATGAGTTTAACTCTTGTTCATTATGGTTTGAGTATAAATTACTGTGTATTTCGTTTTGAACAGTTGTAATAATTTGTTCGCCAATATTTTTCTCTTCTTCTGAAAGATATTCTTCAATCCGAACAAGATGGAACTGAAGGAAATTAAGTGCTTCATTCTGATCATCTGGATGAGTAGAAGATGTAAGAATTTCATTACAAATTGTAAAAATATGAAATAAAGCTTGCCTAGAATCATCTGAAGTATAAAATTGATATATTTCGTTCCATATGTGAAGTCCTACTTGTGATTTCGTTGGATCTTGTATAATTTTATTTGCATAAATAAAAATTTCATTCCATGGAGTAGTTTCAATTGTCTTCTTTAAAAATTCGGCCGCATCATCCATTATGAATTTGAGAATAGTAATATCTTTGGTTTTGTATAGCAAATCTATGAACAAATTTTGTATTTGAAGAATTTTTTCTGGTTCAAGTTGTTCAATGTATGTAGAAATCAAAAAGCTTAGTCGCAAAGCGCATATTTTAAGAACTTTATTGTTTTGGGAACGATGTAACAGATATAAATGTATTAAAAATGAATCAGGATCTGCGTCAATTTGTTGAATTTGCTCAAGAAAGGCCTTCTGCTCTGTTGATTCGTAAGATAAATATAAATTTTCGAGCGTATCAACAAGATCTGAAGACAATTTTAAAAACTAAAATTTTGTTCAAAATTTGTTGATACTAAAATTTGTTCAAAATCAGCGAGTCCTAAAAATATTGATACGGAAAAAGTTTTATTTTATTTTTTTTATGTCATGTGATATGAAATGAATGTGATTACTTAGTTAATTCATGCAATGCAAGTTTCTCGACATAGGATATTAATCGAAAGAATCTAACCATATAAAGGTTGAACATTCGTTCAACAAATGATTATTTTCATCTGCGCTCCATGCTATCACATTCATGTTGCTGCTCCAAAATTTTGCAAATTCATGACAAAAAAAAAGTTAAATTATCAAAATGCAAGTGGATGCATATTTGTTTTGTGCATCTTTATTTTTTTTTTCAGTAACATTGGCACCATACAAAATAAGAAAATCAGCTGTTTCTTTAAAACCCTTACGTTCTGCAATGCAAAGAGCCGTTTCTCCATCATTATCTTTTTCATTTATATTTACACCTAGTGAAAGAAAAAGTTCAGCTGTATCTTTACCACCAAAAGTAGCTGCACAATGAAGTACACTTTCCCCATCTTTAAGTCTTTCATTGATATTTGCGCCATACGAAAGAAGAAGTTCTGCTATTTCTGTATTTTTATTTTCTGCTGTATAATGAAGAGCCGTTTTCCCCTCATTATCTTTTTCATTGATATTTGCGCCATACGAAAGAAGAAGTTCTGCTATTTCTGTATTTTTATTTTCTGCTGTATAATGAAGAGCCGTTTTCCCCTCATTATCTTTTTCATTGATATTTGCACCATGTGAAAGAAGAAGTTCGGCAGCTTCTTTACTATTTCTATATTCAAAATATATCTTATAATATCTTCGGGGAGCAATGTCTCTGGTTCAATTAATTTTGTTTTGATCATATCACAAATAGAGTTTAAATCTTCTCTTTTTTCCGTTTTCAGCTGATACAATGCATTATATAAATCAATGTGAGATTTATATGCACTTCTCAGTTGGCTGTATTTATTCGAGGGCATGTCATGATCAGACATCAAAAAATTTAAAAATTATATATTTCAACTTTATCATTCAAAAAGTCATTGAAAATCATCAGTAGGGGAAAAATACTATATTATACATGTGGAAAACAATGGCAACAAAGATTTCGAATTAAATATTGCTTGCTTTCGTAATTCCAATGACTCATTTAGGGATGAAAATCGGGAAGATATGCTGAATTATGGAAGATAAATTGTTGCATTTTTCTTGTTGCATACACCTCTTTACTATATCTTCTTTACAAAATAAAATGAGATTTAAATTAAAAATTTGCTTTTCTTTTTACGACACAAGTATACATGGGCTAGAGATAATTTTTATGACTGAAATTATGGAAATTAAAACGTAATTCACAAATCTTTTAGTAACTTTTCAAACTAAGATCATATCATTCATATTTGGATCCTGCTGATTCGGTTTATCTTATTTATTTTGAAATCTATCGTTTAGGTCTTCGTGGGATCACCTTTGGTTTGACTTGTGCATTTTTAATTTTAAATGTAATTGCAGGTCAAAAATTTACCAAAGGAAATATGAAGGAAAAACGACTTTCCAGAAATCTTTGCATATACGTATTCTATTTTTTTTTTTTATTCTGCATGTTTTTTAAATTTTTGGTATTTTTGACATCATATTTTTTTTATGAGTTCTGGTTTCGGAAAAGGGTGCCAATTTTATGATGGATCTATTTCTGCGATGAAAAGAGAGTGGGGCTCTACGAATCCATCTAATCCTTTTCGATCTTTTTCAAAATCCTCTAGGATTAGCAGCGCAACGGAATACAGACACGTATATGCACAATCTTAAATATGCTTTAGAGGCATCCCAAGTTAAAAGTCTTGATGAAGAATTTTTCTCAAACGATGGTCATGTTCAAAATTATCAACGATTTTTGGTTCCTTTTTCAGTTTCAACCACAGAAGTACCCGAATATCTCGAAGAATTATGGAATATCCAACTTTTTTGCAAAGCTACGATTCAAATAATGAAGAGCAAACAAATACTTTGTTAAACTTCATAGAAAACAACGTTTACACAGGCGTACGCGAATTTGAAACGAGTGTATTCGTTCGTCCACGTCTTGTTAAAGAATATGTCCAACTTTATTCCAAATTTTCCAAAAAACTTAAAATGTTTATCAGGAATTCATCGACATTACCAGTTTCTTTTGGTGTTTTCCTCACATCAGAGCACATTGGAAGTAATTTAGAAGCATCACAACTTACATTTTCGACATTTCAAAATCCTTCGATAAATCGACTCATTACGAACATTGTTTATTCACCAGAATCCAATGGAACCCTAGAAAAGATTCCTCTCGAGATGTACGAAGCAGCAATTTCAGATAATGTCGAGTATTTCGTAAATATTACAAGTGATTCCGATTTCAACAAGTTGTACATGATGGATGGACGATCAATCAACATTATACAGTTCTTAGCATTGTATGGTGCCATCAACTGCTTCAAATTCATTTTATTAAATCATCCAAAATTAAATTCCATTGCAGGCTTTGCTGTAGCAGGTGGAAACATGGAGATCATACGTATTTTGATACATAACAACATCAAATTCGACAACGTCACGTTCATACCTCTTTATTTCAGAAATGATGAAATTTTTGATTGGATTGTTCAAAACGATTTCACAGAAGAACAAGAAGAAAAGCGTACAGGATATCTATACTTCACAGAAACCATGACAATTCATGCAATTTTAGGAATTATGGGTCGAAATAATTTAATTAACTGTGTTGATCTTTTATCTGTTCTTTATTTGGATGGATTAGTTGATCCGGTCAGAGAATTGTCCAAACAATCATGTTTCAGTATCAATTTATTCTACGAAGTCCAAGAAGAAGAAATTTTGAATAATTTGATAAATAACATGTCACAAACGGTTTTTACAAAAATTTTAAACGGCTGTTTATCACTTGAATTAGAAGATCATCTTAAAACGATTGTTAATCATGAGAACTTTGTTGATTTCAAGATGGACCAGAGTATTATTGATTCTATCAAACGAAAATTCCCAAAAATTCATGATTTAATTGTTGAAAGATTGTTTGCTGAACAAACACCTGATAAATTATATAAAGCATTTGTCAGAGGACTTCCTATTAATCCTGAACATGTTTTGGATGCAATGTTCTATTGTGCAAAGATATTCGATTTCAAGACATTGATAAAAATGGTTGAAAAATATTACAAACAATTGGATCATAATCAAATGTCACTTTTATTAGAAAATTTTCCATATGTTTGGCTTGTTATTTATAATGAATTTTTGAGTAATTATAATGATAGCAAAGATGAATCTATTGTTAAGTTGATCAGATACTTCTTTACAAAGGATATAGAGCCAACAAATAATGTTATTGATTTAACTGTTTTGATTAACCAAAATTTGCCAATTTTACAAAAATTGACAGTTTTTGACATTGTCAATTTAATGAGAATTCTTCCATTGTTTGATAAGGAATTGATGAATTTATTATTATCGAAAGAATTAATAACACAAGAGCAGATCAATGATTTTTCATCTCAGAAAAATGTTGATATTCATAATAAATTCGCAAAACGTTCGAAATTCCAAAATATAATTAGAATTTCGAGCAATACAATTGATAACATGTTTTTCAATCAGCCAGGAACTGATCTGTTATCAAAGATGATCAAAGCTGTTGCGGAATCCAAAAAATTCAAAGAAGAATTTTTCAAAAATCCGTCACTTTTGGTTGATATCATTCCAAACAATCCATTTTTGATTGATTTGTATATTGAATACGATAACGAAAATGATCTTGAGAAACCTGTTTTCGACAAACTCTTAGTTTACTACATGTATTTAGTTGGTCAAACAATTGAAGAAAGTCGTGATTTTGGATATAAAGTTAGTTCACAACTTCCAACAAACATGATGTTGTTATTTTTAAAGGTTTTGGCGAAATCGAAATATCGAAAATACTATGATCTCAAGGAAATGCTTAAATACACAAATGCACCATCATTTATTCAATACTTAGAATTCACTCAAGAAGAAATTGATTATTTGAAGACAACTCCTGAAATGAAAGATAAAATCTTCAAGAATCCAAAGAATGCGAAATATTTCACTGTTCCTGAGATTTTGGAACGCGAAAAGAATTTCATTACATTAATTAATGTTTTCTTAGTTTATGAGAATTTGAATAATGAAAGTGCTGCATTGGTATTAAATGAAATTAGTCATTCAAGGTTGTCTTCTCCTTTCCAAAGAAATCTTCTTAATAGAGAGATTTTCTTAAAGAATATTACAACGAGAAACTTAATTAATTTCGTCGCAACACATAATGATCCTGATTTTGAAACTAATCTATTAAATAAGCCACAGCCTGATGATATTTCTTACAAAGTTGTTGATGAATTTTTCTCAAGAGATTTCTCAGAAAATGATTTGGTAAGTTTGATTGTTAATTTCCCTGAATCGAAACAATTCGTTGAATATGTTTTGTCAAAATACAAAGAAAGATTATCTAAGGATTCTTTGATTCTTTTAGGTTGTATTACAAATGTTCAATACGTTCCTAAAAATCATAAAATCAATGACGATTATTTTGTCAAAATTTTCCAAAACTTTACAAACACAAAGAGATGGTTGAAGAACTTGAAAGATTACGATATTTCCGTTGAAGCACTTACGAAAGCTCTTCATTTAGCCGCAAATAGAAGTGACGAAGACAATATTTATTGGCTTGTCAGAAAAGGCGCTTTAGTTAATACAATTGTAAATGGAGAAAGTTTTATTGAAAAAGTTCTGTTTGCTGATGATCCTGAATTTTTGAAGTTCTTGATAAGACAAGGTTGCGATTTGGGATATGTCTTGAAAACACCTATTTCTGTCATCATGGAAAATGAAATTCATTCTCCAGTGAAAAGAGAAATTTTCTTGAATACGAAAATGACTTTTGAAGCAAGATATACAAATAAATACATTATTGAAACTTTGGATCAGGGTTATATAAGAACTGATACAATTTATTTAACAAATTATATCAGTAATCTTTTCAAAATGCCATTAACTGAACAAAGATTGATTGATGAAATGAAAAATGAAAATTATAACATTGAAAATATTTCTAATTTGATGGATCTCATTTTCTCACAAGAAATTAATTTCCCATTCGCTCTTTTCTTCTTGACGCAAATCACATCAAGATTTAATACTATTTTGCAGCCTTTCTGTTTCGAGTTTTTGAAGCAAAATCTAAATAATCCGGAAATAGAAAATTTGATCGATCAAAAAATGGAAAAAGCTTCAAAACCTTACAAAAATATTTTCTTCGTTTTGTCAAGTAAAAGTGACAAAATTGAGAAATATAACCGCAATACAGATATATTGTTTATTGCTACGAAAATTGGCAATTTCGATGTTATCAAGAGTTTACTTGAAAATGGTGCAGATATCAATGAATTGGAAGGTTTCTTTTACCTTCATTCTCCAGCATTAGAAGCTGTTTCTCACGACAGAATTGATTTGTTGAAACTCTTTTACGAAAAAGGTTTAGACTTGAACTCGATTTATTCAAGTGATGATTTGACTTTGATTAATTGCGCAATTGAATATAATGCACAAAATTGTTTCGATTTCTTGGTTGACAAGGTTGAATTGAGACACAGAGTTGTACAATCGCCAATGTCTTGTGCATTACAGCATCTTAATGTTAATGATCATTACGCGGTTGTTCTTTATGAAAAAATCGACAAAACTGTTGAAAGAATTGAAAGTGATTCTTTCAAATTATTTGAAAAATGTCTTGAAACTAATGAACAATTCCAATATAATGGTCCGTTGAGAACAACTAATTACCAATCTATTGGACATTATGGCCTTGTTCTTCGCAACAGCCAAAACTACATCGATCTTGCTAATAATTCTACTTTTGTACAGAAATCTCTTGCTTTTAGAACTTTTCATAACAGAGAAAATATTGGCTTGTTTATCAATTTTGATCCTTTCCCTTATAAAGATGCTAAAGCAAAGCCGATTCCTTACTACCCTGATTATGATTATGATGATTACGATGATTACGGTGGAGGGCCAGACTTTGACGAAGTAGATGAAATTGATTTTGTAGATGATGATGAAGTTTTATAACCAATTTGGGTTATAATTTTTAATTGTTTCGAAAGTAATTCCATAAAATATGATGTCTGAAATTCATAAATCAGATTTTAAGAAGTTAATTTTATGATTTAGGATATAAAATGTAATAATAAAAAGATATGTCTGAAACTAATTCCATAAAATATGATGTCTGAAAACAATCGATTTTATGATTTATGATATAAAATGATTTATAAATTCGCAATCCTATAGGATATAATATGTAATAATAAAAAGATTTGTCTGAAAAGTGACACAGAGTTCTCATAAAAATATTGAGAAGAATTTTGTTTTTTACCTCAAATTTTCCAGAATTGTGAACCAGACTTTTAATTCGGAACTCAAATAAATGTATTGTTTTTATTTTGATATCGGGCAGATTCCTATCTATAAAGGTACCTTTCTATTTCGCAATGAATTTTAATTATTCATCCCATTCTTAACATATCCCATTGATAGTTTTCATGTGTATATAATTAAGGATGTCCTTCTATGTTATACTCTTGCAAATTTGAAAATCAAATTTCTTTTTTATTCAAATTTTAAAAGGTTGCGAAGACACATTTGGAGTGTTTAAAGGCGTAAATGAAAAAGAAACTAAAATATCCGATGTGACTTTTTGAATTGAAAATTCAAAAAGTCACACGGATATTTTTAATTTTTTTGAAATTGTTCAGAGTTATTAATAATTAGCCATATATACTTCTAAATTCGCATATCATGTATTTAATTTTCTGCCAATTTATTGTTGACAAAATTGTGAAATGGCAGAGAAGTGCCTCCACTCTGTATATTGAAGTAAATGGCTTGGTACTTAACTGTTAAACATGAATCTAGTAGGTGATAGTAAATGCCTAACTCAGACTTGTACTACCCTCAGCTTCACCAGATTTAGATATGAAATTCACTTGTTAAATGCAAAATACTGAAAAAAGCAAAAGAAAAAGCATTCAGTAGTTGCTTATATAATAAGTTACGCATTAAATAGTTTAAATACATAGAATCCATTGAAATTTTAACTCGATCTAAGTAAAGAAATCTAGATAGTGCCAATATTATAGTATATATAAGTAATATGGCATACACAGATACCATGTTACTCATGGATAGCTGTTCATTTTTTTAAAAAATCAATAACGAATTTAAGTATTTAAAGAATTTCATAAATTTTACATACAATTATGCTTGATTTTGCATGCATGCCTTGGTTTATTTATTAAATCCAATATATAAAAGATAATTAATTATGAATTTTAATTCATCATTTAAGCCATTTTTAATAAAAGAATTATGACATACAGTATTAATGCAAATATATTATCATTTATAAAATTCATCATGTTTAGAATGAGAATTTATTAAGAAATCTATTAAAGCATTTATAATGTAATAGCTTGTTGATGAAGGGTTAATATGTGACTCATCAACAATGAGCGATTGTTGACTATTCGGAATATCTTTATTAAGGGAAGCGTAAGAATTTATAATGAAATCGGTCTATTTCGAATAGTGAATGGCAACTTATTAATTGGAACATTGCGTTCTGATGATATAAAGAATAAATTTTGAATTTTTTTTTGCGATTTGAAGTTTTCCTCTCACGAGGTTTCATGTATTAGCGTTTGCACGCATTCCCCTTCTTTTTAATCAATAATTTAGTATTGTCTCCGTAAGAAACTTCCATTAACTCATATGCCCAAATTTCTGAAGAAATGGTAAAAATTAGCTATTTCCTTTCAATTATTTTTGCTTCTTTTTACGAAAATTATATTTGTTATTACATGTAGATTCTCGAAAAGTGAGAATGTCAGATTATTAAGGTTCCTTTTTGAATAGTTTACGTAAAATTAAAAATCAAATTTGAACACACATTTAGAATCTATGATATACTAAGAATTTATTTTCCCATATTTTTTGTCCAAAAAACTCAAAATTGAGAGTGGTGGCACTTCTAATGGCAGAATTTGATGGTAAATTTTTTTCCAAAAAATTTAAATGAGCGATTTCCAATTTATTATTGATTCCCACTATTGTAAAAACTCATCATTATTAAAGATTGGAATAGATTTTTCATTTATAATTAATGGAAATAGATTTGTAACTACTCAAAATCATGCATCAGTCATCAGTGGTATTGTCAGAGATATTCTCATAACAGATGAAAGTGCAACAGAAATTAACATCAGCATTCCCGATAATGGATCACTTGAAAAATCTCTCAACATATTTTCAATTTTCCTTAGAAATGGTTATATAAAAGAAAATATTGATTTACTCACAAGTGAAACTCTTTATCATATCGGAGTTTCTATCGAAAACGAGGATTTCATAAATCAATATATTAATATTATGACAATTTCAAATATAACAAAAGATAATATCAAATCATTCATAAATTATAGCCTTAAGACTCATGATTTCGAAAAAACTTCAACATTCATTGCATCAAATTTATCCCATATTGGGCCATCAATATGTTCATCATTGATTCAATCAGTCTTTGATACCATCAAAGATTAAATTTTGGTGTCCAAAAAAGAAGATATTTTAATAAGCTTTGCAGCTTCAATTTTAAGTAATACTCATCTAGCTGTCTTCACTGAAGATGATGTTTGTGAATTTGTAATTTCCATGTGTAAATCTTTATCTGAAGTGAACAAACTTGTATCATATATTATGTTTGAATTTTGCACAAAAAAAGCAGTAATCAATTATATAAATTATTATATGGGATTATTAAATCAAAATTGGAATGAATCAAATTCATCGAATAAAATTAATGATGAAACTCTAATATTTTGTCAACTTTTTGAGGATCTTTTGACAAAAGAATTTGAGTATGTTAGTTCTACAAGGGAAAATACTTTAGAATTTGATTCAACAACAATTGCTTCATTTAATTCTAAATCAATTTATTTGCTATTTGTTAAATGTAGTAATGAGAGGGATCTAAAATCAATAAAATATGCAGTGGATAAATGATATCATTTATGTACAAATCATTATGGTCTTACGATTTTAGATTTTGCAGTATCAAAGAATTATTATTTACTTGTTAAAGATCTGGTTACATGTGGAGCTGATCCAAACTATGTCAATAACAATCAAAATACAGCCCTAATGCGAGCATGTAAATATAATAATATCAAGATAGTAGAATATCTCTTGACATTGAAAGGAATTGATGTTAATGCAAAGAGTCGAAAAGGAAATACTGCTCTTCATTATGCATGCATTAATGAATCAATTGGAATAATTCTACTGCTTTTAAGTTACAAAGGAATAGATAAGAATGCTAAAAATTCAAAAGGATTAACACCATTTCAAATGACTCGAAATCCTGAAATTCAAATAATGCTTAACTCCCATTAATTATTGACAAATAATATGTTTTCGAATTTAAGAATAAAAGTTACTTTATATACATGTAAAAAATTGTGTCAAGGTGAATTGTTAATGAAAACCATGTATTTTGATGTCATTGTTGATATCAAAAGTTATTGAAACACTACTACCTTAGGAATAGTTTTTAGATGTCATGAATTGGGTTAAAACAATGATTTTTAAGGGCATGCATAAGTGCGCATTAAACAACTTTCAATAATGTTGTTTAAGGATAATTTCCAATGATGCTTCGCAAAGTTTGTCAGAAATTTGAACTAAAGTCAGATGCCCTCTAAAAAATCAGGAATTATGAAAAAGTACTGAACTATTATGAAAAATATCATTAAAATAAAGGGAATGTTAAGGTCCCGTAGTGTAGCGGTTATCACTTGGGACTTTGAATCCCGAAATCCAGGTTCGACTCCTGGCGGGACCATCATTTTTTTTTCCTTTTTTTTAAAGTGAAGTTCACTTTTTCATTTTTATACAAAATATGAACCAAATCAATACATTTTCTATAATTCATGATGATGAGTTCGTACCACTTAACACAGAAGTCATGGATAACGTTGTTATTATTGAATGAATGATGAAGTTTGACTGGCAAGGATGAATTTT